TAAAAATGCACCTGTATTACTAGATTAGCCTACTGAATTTTTGAAGGGTCAATTTACGCTGAAGGTTTTTGTCCCCCCCCCCCAAAAAAAAGTCAAAACGTTTCCCATTTCCTCATGGAGGAAACTATGTCTGATGTGGATAGCAAGGCAAACCCCTGGAGAGTCTGGTTTTAATGCAGCCATTGGTGCTTTAGGTGGCATTATTTATTGGAAAAGTGAAAAAAGAGTGAATTAATACCACTGTTTGCAGCGTGTGTTTATGAGTGTATGTGAGCCAGAGAGAGTGAAGGAGACTAAATTGATGCATTTCTTAAGAAAGGTGTAAGAATTTCACCTAAAAGAGGGGCACATTTGCTATGTTATTTATAATAAAAAACTAGATTTTACTTTTTTTGTTTTTTGAAGAGGACACTGCTAATAATTAGAAGGGGCCAATTCTGCTTCTCTTTTACATGTATTAACTAAGTGATAACTTATTTCTTGGTAAGTAAAAGCAGCAGGATTGACCCCTTTTGTGATCAATAAAATCAAGTTTTTAGTTCACTGTTTTAAAAAAAATAGTAGAAGATTTTTATATTTCACTTAATTTCCCCCCAGTTGTGTTCTGTTGTGTCCTTATTTATGTAATATACTTTAACCTTAATCGGCATAGATTCTTATGCCTTTCCTTTGTTATTGTCATTTTTTAAAAGAAATATTTCTTTCTAGTGTGATTTCAATGTCTACCTTCTAAATGAGAGAACGTTTTCTTGTATTTTTACATTGTCAGATTCTATAGTTTCGTAGATGATTTAACCAAATTGCTCAATGTATTCTCTATATCTATCTGGTAGGTATATAAAAGTTCTATTTTAAATTGTGTAAATACTTCAGAACTGGCTTCTTTTTGAAACTCCCCTGCCGTGGAGTTACTTGTTTACATCACAAAGACTGTAGAATCTCTACATTCATGTACTGTAAATAGTGAAGTGATCTGCCTATAAATAAATAAATCATAACAAATATACTATGAAGTCCAACACGTCCTGCTTGCTTGCAACTCTGTGTGGAATTGTGTGTACATTTTTGGGAGGCTTTCTGCTCCTAAATTGCACCCATGTCCTCTCTATGAATCGGCTGGAGTCTGGTGACCCTCACACTTATCGTAGGCCTTGTTTACAGCTATAGAAGACAGAGGTGTCTTCTGAAAGATGCCAGCTTATGGAACAGCTGTAGTCTTTGGTTTCTAATAGAAATCCAGATTAAGTGCCCCATGCAGAAGCTCTGACACTGCTTTGAAGAGGTCCACAAGAAGTGAGGTTACAGGGAACCAGGCAGAGGGCCTTCTCGGTAGTAGTGCCGGCCCTGTGGAACACCCTCCCATCAGATGTCAAAGAAATAACTACATGACTTTTAGAAGACATCTGAAGGCAGCCCTGTTTAGGAAAGTTTTTAATGTTTGATGTTTTGTCGCTTTATTATTATTATTATTATTATTATTATTATTATTATTTTGTTGGGAACCAACCAGAGTGGCTGGGGAAACCCAGCCAGATGGGCAGGGTATAAATAATAAATTATTCTTATTCTTATTCTTATTCTTACAATATTCTTATTCTTATTATTAGGATGATTTTACATTATTCACATGCTTCATTGGCAAAGATAGCACTCTGTGACAAAAGGGGCAATGGATGCAGCATGCAACCCTTGGTTCCCCATAATGCTTTTTGGGGATCTTTCCCTTACCCCCAAGTATTAACTGATCTCCCAAGTAACACAAGAGGCAGGGCCAGGTGTGTTAAAAACCTATCATTAATGGGGAAAGCAACAGACACCAAACATAGCTCATTTTAATTCAAAAGCACCAAGACAACTGCTCCATCTCCAGTTGTTTCTTCCTCCTACCACCTCAGGGCCATTGCTTCTCCCTGACCCAGCCATAATTCAGCAGTTTGGGTTTTCTGATTAATTGTTTTCAGGTTTTTGTGAGGAAAGTGCTGATGGGCAGGGAGCGCTTGGACATGGACTTGGAAAGCCGGGACCTGTGTCCAGAAATGCAGAGCAAAGGTAGGTATAGATGAGCCCAGAGTCAGGTTTCATTCCACTGCAAAAGTGCAAGCATTGCATTTATGCTTCAGTCATGCCACAAAGCCCCAGGGGGATGGGATTGTCACTGTACGCACACAACCCTAGGAGCACTTTCTCCACTCAGCCTTGGAGCTTGGTGTGTTTATTATTCTGCTAACAGGACGAAAGAGTACTTTGGAGGTGTGTGGGCATGGGAAGAAAGAGCCAATTGTTATTTGCAGAATAAAAGTGTTTGAACAGCAAGGAAAGGAAAGGAAAAGGAAAATGTAGCAGAAAGCTTAAGGAGACCCCCAGGTGAGTAAGTAACATTGGGTAGAAAGGAAATGATGTAATCATTCAAATGTGCGAAATTGTATTTTGCAAGTGTCCCTATTTATCAGGACTCTCTTTATATTCTGGTCCCTGCCCTTATTTGCAAGTGTGAGAGATGTTTTCAGAAATGCCGTTCATGTGCAAAAATCCTCATTTCAGACCCCTCTGCTCTCTAGGCATTAAGGACCAGAATCAAATACTTTGGTGTGCTAGCAGAAGCCAGCAGAAGGACTCTTGCTTGCACAGCAGGGTGCCCCTGCACACCTCTGCTCCACTTCCAAATCCTCAGGGGCTTGGAGTCTGGCAAATATATTGCAGCAATGTGCAGAAAGGAATAGCCCATTAAGGCTGCTGGTTATTACCCGGGGCAAACAAAGCCATTCTAAGTACAGTGGACGCTTGGGGTTGCGAACGTGATCCGTGCGGGAGGCACGTTTACAACCCACAGTGTTCACAACCTGCAGTGCCGTGTCTGCGTACGCACGGGTTGCGATTTGGCGTTTCTGCACATGCACGACCACCGAAACTCAGAAGTAACCTGTTCCAGTACTTCCAGGTTTCAGCGGGTCCATAACCCGAAAAAGCGCAACCTGAAGCGTCTGTAACCTGAGGAATAACTGTACTGTATAGGTTTTGCATGCGGACAAGATGGAGCCAGCTACCACCCGCTAGCTCATACTCAAAACAAGCTTGAATTGGGAGAAGCAGGAAGGAAGTAAAGCCTGAAAGGAAGGGATTTACTGTGCCAACAAGTAGTTACTAAAGAGAAGGAATCAGAAAGGGGGAAAACGGGTTACCTTTCTATTTCCCACCCACCCCAGTTCAGGAAGCTTATTGCAAGCACTGAATGATTTTCAAATGTATTTTTAATTGTATTTTTACAGACATACTATGGATTACCTGAATGAAGCTTACTGACCATTGGTGGTCCACAGACCACAGTTTGGGAACCTCTGCTCTCTCATATAGTGTATGTTTTTTTAAAAAAAAAACAGCAAAACAAATGAGGTATGGGGATTGCATATGCACTTCTCATGCTTTACAGGTGTGCAGACCTCTGCAGTCTCTAGGTGAAATTCCCACAGGCTCTGCTAGGCATGATGCTTCCTAATCAGGATTTCTGGGACAAGGTTATTAGCATTCAGATGAGGGTGGCTGGTTTCGCCTTACTCTATACGGGCAGACACATTAAAATAAGGGCATCCAGGAAAGCAGCTTGGGCAATGATCCAAAGGTAGAGGCAGTCTTCTACACTTTTCGTCACACAGAGGGAGGGCCCAAGGACTACTCTGTTTTGCCATGTCTGGCTGTTAGAAATTCAGCTCCGGCCCATCGAGCTGATACGGCTCATCTTGGATCGAGCCCAGCAGAGTATACATCCACTGTCCGCAACGAAAGGATGAGGCAGATATGGCTACATTGCGAAAGTTTTATTCCTAAGCTATGCGGAGAGCATACAAATACACATCTTGTCTCTGTGAGAAGCAGAGAGCAACTCCAACAAATAACAACAGAACAAAGGAAACAGGAAACCAGTAAACGTCACATCCCGTCTCCCTTTCCCGTGGGAATCCAACAGTATCTGAACTGTGGAATGAAAACATAGTCTTGTGACTACCAGCTGCTGCTCAGTGAGGGAAACATAAACCAACAGGGCCCAAGGACTACTCTTTTTTGCCATGTCTGGCTGTAAGCACTTGACGTCACAAAGTGCCAACCCTCAATTTTCTGTTTTGTATAGCAATTTAGTCACTTTTATTTTGTGATCTGCCTTTGAGCATGCTATTGGAAAAGTGGGATACAAATTTAACAAGCAGATAGATAGATGATAGATAGATACTGTAACACACCTCGGGATCTTACAGTGAAGGGAGGGCCACAGTACAATACAATACAATTATAATTAATAATACTTGGTCAAAAACGAGGTGCTGATACTTGTATCTTGATAAAAGCACCATAGGTGCCCGCACAAAGTGATATTTTTCAAAACATGCATAGGATTCTCTACTCTGTAGCACCACACAAAGAGAAAACTGGATCCTTTAAAATCTACCTCTTCTCTTTGATTTTAATGAAGGATCTTAGATGCAAGGTTTCCTGGATTTGTTTTGTGAATTGTTTGTATGCTGCCTTATTGCTTGAGTGCCTTATGCTTTCTTTTATTTTCTATTGTAGTTGGTTTTCTTGGAGATTGTAAGTCACTTGTGAAGGAAGTTCCAAAAAAAGCGGAGTATAAATCTTTAAATTTTTAAAAAACCCACCAAATAAATAAAATAGTAGACATCTTCATTGGAAGAGCTGAGTCTATTGTGCCAAATGTGTTTTTTTAATAAAAATAAAAATCCTGCAGGTTTCCTTTCATTGAACTGGAGCTTAGCTAGTCTGCAAAGATTTTGGATCCATGGCAGAGAGACAGCAATGGAATTTGAAACAACCACCTGCTGGAACATGGTGACACACAGCATACATGGCCGTCCTGTGTCCCTGAGCTGGGGCTGCAGGAGTTCTCTTAGGACTCTGCCCAGGGCATACTGAACACAGTGCAGGAGTCCAAAGCCAGCACCTCCTACCCTGTGTTCAAGGTTCATGCCAGGTTGTCAACAGAGAGCTGCCAGTTCTTCGCTGCCTCCTCAGAAGGAAAAGCCTCCTTGGAAGCTCAAAGAAAGGAGAATCATGATTCCCTGCGATTTCTGCCTAGGGAAACCTCACTTAGCGGAGAAGAAGTGTCTGACCTGTGAGGCGTCCCTGTGCCGGGACCACCTGAGGAAACACAATTTGAAGGCCACCCAGAAGAACCATGCCTTGGTGGCTCTTGGAGCCCAGGAGGAGGAGAAATGCCCAGAGCATGCCATGCTGCTGGAATGCTTCTGTCAAGACGACTTGGTGTGTGTTTGCAAGGCCTGCTCCACCACTGGCTCCCACAGCAGCCACAGCGTCGTCGCCCTGAAGGACGAGTACGACAAGCAGATGGTAAGGGGCTTCAACCAGGCATGGAGCGTTCCAAATAGGTCCTCCAATTAAATGTAACAGAGAGAGATGTTTTAAATAGAAACGGGTGTCAGAATGTGGAAATGGGGGGAGAAAATGAAGCAAAAAACATCAAGCATCAAGTAGCATTCAAAGCCTGATAACTAAGGAGTAGCAAATTATACTTGTGGGGTGTTTTTCTGATGGTGAGGCATGTATTTATACAAATATGTAGTCAGGGGAAGCGCTGTAGCTCACCGTGGTAGAGCATGCACTTTTCACCCAGAAAGTCATAGAATCATAGAATCATAGAGTTGGAAGAGACCACAAGGGCCATCGAGTCCAACCCCCTGCCAAGCAGGAAACACCATCAGAGCACTCCTGACATATGGTTGTCAAGCCTCTGCTTAAAGACCTCCAAAGAAGGAAACTCCACCACACTCCTTGGCAGCAAATTCCACTGTCGAACAGCTCTTACTGTCAGGAAGTTCTTCCTAATGTTTAGGTGGAATCTTCTTTCTTGTAGTTTGGATCTATTGCTCCGTGTCTGCTTCTCTGGAGCAGCAGAAAACAACCTTTCTCCCTCTTCTATGTGACATCCTTTTATATATTTGAACATGGCTATCATATCACCCCTTAACCTCCTCTTCTCCAGGCTAAACATGCCCAGCTCCCTTAGCCGTTCCTCATAAGGCATCGTTTCCAGGCCTTTGACCATTTTGGTTGCCCTCCTCTGGACACGTTCCAGTTTGTCAGTGTCCTTCTTGAACTGTGGTGCCCAGAACTGGACACAGTACTCCAGGTGAGGTCTGACCAGAGCAGAATACAGTGGCACTATTACTTCCCTTGATCTAGATGCTATACTCCTATTGATGCAGCCCAGAATTGCATTGGCTTTTTTAGCTGCTGCATCACACTGTTGGCTCATGTCAAGTTTGTGGTCAACCAAGACTGTCCCATTGAACTGAGAAATGACACCAAACCAACAGTGGAGACTTCCTATAGACCTTGCTTAGCCTCAGCACTTTCTGCAGGTATCTTCATTTCCGTGCTTGACAATGTGTTTGTGCATTACAGCTCCTGGCATTGATCATTGACTTTTTCTCCCCCTCTGAGCATGGCAATATGCCAGCCAAGATTAACAAACACTCCACTGTGTGTTAACAGCCCTTCCCATCTTATCAACAACCCCTGCTAGATTAGAGGACAATTTTGCAAAAAAAGTTAGTGGTAACTAATGCCATTGCTTTTAATTTATGGCTTTCTGTAAGAACCTGCAGCCTGCTTCTAGAAGAACAAGTTTGCTGTTTGCTTGTTGTTTGCCGCCCTAGGCTCCTTCAGGAGGAAGGGCAGGAGATAAATTACACAAAAAATTACAAAATTACATAAAAAATAAAAGTTCTGCTGAGGCTAGTGGGACTTTGACCAGGATATGGGGACAGAAGAGCCTTGGAACACTTCTGTGTACTTGATTGCATACTTGATTGTGCTTTAAATCATTAGGAGTCTAGCTACTTGGGAAGAAGACCCAACATATTATTTGAAAAGACAAATAAAGCAGAAATTCACCATCATGGCAGCCCAAACATACAAATGGAGTTCAATGAGGGTTATTTCCAAGTGAATGTGCATTCCATTCTCAAACTGCAACCACAAACATCCTTGCCAGGATGCATGGCAGCCACCTGAGAGTTCTCAAGGAACTCAAATGTGAAATTGCTGGTCTTCAAAACAGAAATATGTCCCTCGGATCATGAAGCAGAGCTAGCAAGGCTTCTACAAGGGAAAATCCTGTCTCACAAACTCATGAGGGTGTCAACAAGAGTGTCAGCAAGCATATAGACAGAGGTGATCTGGTTGACATAGCATACCTGGACTTTCTAAAAATGTTTGACGAAGTATGTCGCCAAAGACTCCTGAGTAAGCTTAGTAGTCAAGAACTAAGAGGAGAAGTCCTCTTGTGGATCAGGAATTGGTTAAGTTGGAAGAAGCAAAGAATAGGAATAAATGAACAGTTCTCCAAATGGAAAAAGTAGAAAGCAGAGTCCCCCAAGGATCGGTATTGGAACCTCTGCTATAGTTGATTAATCTACCAAATAAACTTATTGAAATGTACAGTTCTGTGATTTCCCTTCTGATTTTCTCTTAATCAGGCAATTCTCTCACGGATTATGAAATCAATGCAGGAATACAAAACTGCCACAAAGAAGACACTCTTACAGCTTCAGAAAAGTGAGGATCAGATAAAGGTTTGTGTTGTAACTTCATGATGCCATGCATCACTCTCTGGTCCCAGGTGGAAAATAATGAATGTGTCTCCAATATGCTTCTCCATCCAGCATCCGCAATCTTTTCATTTTAACTATGCAGCACTTTTGGCCAGTGACTCTTTTCACCCAAAGGTTTATTACCTGAACATCTACAGTATCTATATCTATCTATCTATCACACATGGACACAGATTTAGTTAGTGCACGCTCTATTTACTGTCTGGACAGGCATGTGTTTCTACACCCTCTTCAGATACTTAGCCCCAGAGGAAGGACTGGGTTTGTAAAAAAATGGCTACTCTAGTGCATGTGTATGTGCACTTTCAGTTTTTGTTTAAGGCATCCCTAAAATCTACCTAACAGCCAAGTTGGGGACAAAATAAAGACAGTAGTTTACCAGGGACAAGTACCCGAAAACATGGGCTCTCCCTGGTTAAGAGTGTGTGACCACTAACAGACACTAGGGGGCTTCCAAGGCAGCACTTCATATCACAGACCCACACAGAGCTTGTCTGAGACCTGGGGTGGGAGTCTTGTTAGAATAAAGTTAAAAACTCAAACAGAAGAGCAGCTGGGCGCAGTGGCGGAGCTTCATGCTCTGGCACTGGGGGGGGCGGAGGGCAGGGGGGCTGGTGTGTGTCCTGGGGGCGTGGCCCGCTGCCTGCGGTGTTGTGGTGCCCAGCACAGGCGGGGGCAGCCACGATGGCACCCCACCAGGATCGCGCTGCCAGGGGCGGTGCGCTCCCCCCCGCACTCCTCTTCCTCCGCCAATGGCTGGGCCAGCTTAGCTCTCCAAGGCCCAGGACAAGGGCTACCCCCTGCCTCTGCACAGCCCTGCATATCAGGCAACCTTTTCTGCCACAACAGAAGACTGGCGAGATGTGAGCCTCTGGTGCTACTTTTGCTGGGAAACCAGCAGGGCATGAGAAAAAGAGCACCCAATGGTAAGGAAGCCAAAGTCAAGCCAGGGAACAGGCAAGAGATCCCAGCCAAGGCGCAAGGATTCAGTGAAAGGGGCTAGTGGGTGAACCATTACAACTGAACCAGAACTCCCAGCAGCACCAGACAGCAGAGATAGGCTAGCTGAGGCTGATGACAACAGGTTGGGGGAGGTTGTATTAGGATCTGGGAATTAAAAAGCTCTGTTGACATTCAAGCTGCAGTCCTATGCACACTTACATGGGACTTACTCTTGAGTATATATGCATAAGTTTGCACTGCACATTACTCAGTGGCGGTAGCCACAGGATAACTGAGGCAAGAATACTTTGGTGTGATCTTCTGAGGGGCTGATGCCCACAGTGCTTTTCAGAGCGACTGGCAACATACTTGGGAGGTTGCTGACAGCTATAAACTTGATAGCTTGGTGGCCTGTTTTGCGGAAGCAATATGTAATTTTTCACTATAAAAATGTTATCTGACATATATAGTCTCCACACCTTTTAAAATAATGGTTGTTTCCTAAGGGAGTTTTATGAACAGGGGAGGGACTGTGACCACAGAGCTAACGATCCTTTTTAGCCTAGATAGGGAAGTATTGCTCAAGACACCCCGGGTTTATGCCCTAGGTCCAACAATTCAACTGTAATAAAAAGTTGCCATCTTTCTTTCCTTAGAACAATAAGAAAACGTTGACAGATCAGCTCTCCAGAATCTTCCAAGAGATCAAGTCTCAGGTAGATCAGAAGGAGAAGCAGATCCTAGGTGACATCCAGTCCAATGAGAAAAAGCAGCTGGCTGACATGGCAGCTCTGAAGAAGCAAGTGGCAGACAAGAGGGACGTGGCTGCCCAGGGCCTTCGGGAGCTACAAGCACTAACAGAGAAAACAGATGCTTGCCTCTTCCTCAAGGTGAGCAGCTTTTTCTCCCCTTCAAGTTAGCAAAGTCTCATTTGCTGGATGCCCCCCTTTCTCTGCGTGCAATAAAAACAATTTCTTGTTTTCTTTTTGTCTTTCTGTAGGATTTTCAGCTAGCCCAAGAGAGGTAAGTTGCACATCACACATTCCCCTCCGTTTGCCTGTCACATAGACTACACTGCTCTCCACATGTACGTGGTTTCATATGGTGGTCCACTGAATGGACTCATTGCCAGGTAATGAGAAGCTTGACATGATGGGAGTCTTTTCTCTTCCTCCTACATCTTCTGAAAGTATTAGCTTTCCTACCTTCAGGAATGTGCTTTGCCTCTTCAGTAGCAATAACGGGACCATTTTGGATAATTGTGCTAATGATATGTGGCATCTAGTTCCTGGATTATTGGTATAGGAACTCAAGAGTGGCTGGTGAGAGCCGTGCGGTTGAGCTGGAGCAACCAGTTCAAGCCTCTTCACACTTCGAGCTTCTCATGTAGGGGAGGGGGACAATAGGCTTAATTACCTATTTCCTCCCAAGGTAAGGAAAATGACATAGCTAAGCCTAGCAGGACAGCTTACTCTGTGGTATTAACCCCTTCATGCATTAATTGGACAAGCATGTTGGGTATATGAGTCCGGTTAACCCACACCTCACGCTCAGAAGATGGAATGGGGACTGATTCAGATGGTTCCCATTCCCTTTCTGTGGTGTCTGGAAACTATGGGGCAAAAGCCTCATCCAAGTCAGTGCTTGAGCTTTCCCTACCCCCAATCTCCGCACCCTGTCATCTCTACCCCATCCTGGTTCGCATTAGAGGACCCATGACAGGGGAAATCAGCAAAAATATCCTCCCCACTTCTTCCATTAGTGGACAACTCTGCTGAAACAGACCCCTTCCTGTGAGTGCAAGGGTTGGAATTTCACACAAAAGCAATGACATACACAACCTCTTCTATCCGTACACTATCCATAGGTTAACTTAGTATTTACCCTTAGGAGTGACGGACATTACAAACAGGGGTGGAGTTTGGTAGGTTGTTTGGATGCGTGGTTGGTTGAATGACCTCTTGTACATGCTAGGATTAAGAAACAGAATTTCAGCAATGACAGTGTGGAAGTGCTGACAGTGCATCTGGAGCAGTCAGACGTTCAGGATGTCAGAAGTCACACAGCCATGTATATCTCCAACCTAGACGCCCTGATGCAAGTAGTACATGGTAAGTGAACGTACCAAAGAACACCTCTCCCAGCAGTGTTAAGTAAGCTATAGAAGTTACAGTGAATATGCTGATATGTGAGTAATAACTAGAGATTATGCACTTTGATATATGTGCACGAGCAGTATGCACATTCTCCTGCTAGATACACATCTGCTAAATATAGCAACTTGAATTACCCTATTTCCATGCTGCACATTTTTCATTGACTTGATTATAGGGCATAGTCTTATTTCATCTGTTTACTTAAAGATACAAAATATAATCTAGGTTAAATACCCTTTGCAATTTATCTAAAAAGATTTTGATGATCGGTCACAGCAGTATAACAACTACGGGACTCATGGGACAGATTTTCTTTACCTTGTTTGTTTTTGGCTATTTTATCCCTTCCAAATGTTTGGTGATGCAGAATCCCTATTGGACATTTCATTTATCCTCATAGCTGACTGCATGTGAAGGTTCTGTCTGCTGGTATGTGGGTCAGGTCCTGGGCTGGTGTGGAACTATTTAACTCCTAAGGGACAGAGACTATTATCCACTCCTGCCACCACCTTTAATAGCTAAACCTAGCTATTATTAACCACACAAACTGGAAATATTAAGACATAGGTGAGTGCTAGAGAATTATCTTCTCAAAGGAGTCAGCCTTACTTTTTCTCCAGGACCTTACGGCAAACTCTCCAAAAGCAAACAGCTTCACTCAAATGTCTGCTTCAGATTTCAAACTTCTCTGGATTTTGCAGTACTGTTCTTGGCTCAAACATGTACCAAAATGCATTTAGGACACCTGTTTCAGAATAAGATACATACAGAAATACATTCACTGAGATAAAATACTCATTTTGTGACAAAATACTATTTAATCATGTATTTAAATTATTTAACTCTGTATTTAATAATTATGTACTGGGTTTAAATATGCATTTAAATTCAAACTTTAGAGTGGAGTTTTAAAAACATATTCACATATTAATTAAGAAATGACTCAGAACAAACTTGTGAATGAACACATGCAAAATCATGGACCAGAAACAGACTGATCCATCCCTTAACTGTGTGTGCTGTTGGATTCCTTAAAGCAGAGGTAGGCGACGTGATGCCAGTACAGCTCCCATCTGCCCATCCCACACTGCCAGTGACCAGGGATGGTGGAAATTGTAACCCAAGAACAACTCAAGGGCACCATGTTGGCTACCGCTGCTTTAGAACAAGGAGAACATCCAAGTCTTACCTGCCTTGAGCTTGCATCATCTCCTGGTGTTATGATTCATTACCTTGTTCTGAATGTAATTTCGCAAATGACATGCTGAATCACACCTATGGGATCTCTTGAGGCAGTTTGCTTCTGAAACCTCATCATGCCAAATCTGTCCTGGAAATGGGTCTTGCAGAAACAGTTCCTGATTACAAGAGTGGTTTTGCATGAATCAGCTGTCTTGTCCTGTTTTCTTACTCTTCATAGGTAAAATCATTAGCCAAACACAGTGGAGCAGGTAAATCCCTTTTTGTCTTTCAGTCTGTTCCTCACATCCAGCACTGGGTTTTCCATTCATTTGTGCTTCAGTTTAGGAAATGAACAGCACAGGAATTAATACTTCAGATGAATGTCATGGGTTCCCCATACCTTTCTTCACAAAAGAAGAACCTAGTTGATTATTTCCTGATAAAACACATGAAGAAGGTTTACAAAACACAGTGCAATCCACATATTAAAAAAAACACACCAAAGATCAAGAGTGGGACAGGATTCCTTCAATTCATGTAACTCTATTTAGTGTTGAAATAAGCTTAGCATTCAATAGACACTAGCCGAGCCAGTCCAAGACATTTTTGCACCTGAGACAAGCTGCAAAATGGTGCCCCCTTCCCTGTCAGGGAAGAAGGGCTGAGTGAAGATCTACACCAGGAGCAAGGAGTGAAGAAATGCTGCTTAGGTGGGATTTGCATGATCTGTGTACACAGTGTGTATCATGCCTACATACACGTGCAGGCTTCTTTATGTATGTCATTCTGTCCACATGGACACTGGGCTCATACAGAGAGTGCAACCCCCCCCAGCCCATCGACCAAGAATGACAACGGCTTTGTGTGAACCACCTCTGTTGAAATGCATTGTGTTTTAAGTCGATGCTGCAATGCTGTTGAATTCAATGGGACATATGTCTAGAGCAACACTTTGCTTAGCAAAGAGGTGAATAATGTGTGTTGTAGGGGTATGAAAATTGCATTTTGCATGTGGGCAGGTTACGTTGCCCCTTTAAAGCAATTATTGAAGCCTTTTTAAAATCTGAATTACCGGGTAAGTCAGCAGAATGCCCTTTTCACAAGATACACGCAACGAGATGGTAAAAAGCTATAATCAAAGTGCAGTGAAATCCTATGCATTCTACTCAGACGTCAATCTCATTTAACTCAATGGGACTTACTCTCAGGTAAGTGCAGAAAGCATTGTGGATGTAGTGTTACGATTTCTAGGATGTTTTCCCATCTTTGTGTGACTTTTCATCTGCTGCTTCCTCTTATGTTTTTCTTTTAATTGATACCCATTATTCTCTTTTCTCACAAGGACAATCCCAGCTGCTGAGTTCTCTCTTGATGGTAGGTGTTTGAAACATCACTACTAATTTTCAAGATGCCAGTCTATGTCACCTCACCTTCTCCAAAATTATTCTGCCAACACCTTATAAAATGTAGTTCAGACCATGAATCCTGTGTGATGATAGAGCAGGTAGGAAACTTATTAAATGGGGGGTGCAATTGTTTCAAAACTAGTAGCAAACTGTAGACCTACCTACAATTTTATAAAAGCATTTGCCACTATTCATATTGAAGCAAATATGCCTGCTTCTTCTGTATCTTCCAAAAATTCCATGAAGTACTGCAGCTTTGAAATGTGCTCATGGCTCTTACACCAAACTTCATGCACAGTTACTTTTAGAGCTACACCAAACAAGGCAGATACACTCCTAATATTCTAATATTATGGAACATTTACAATGATAGAATGAATGTAACACTTACTTGAATTTAATGAGAAGTGTATTTGATCAGGCTAGGTGTGAATAGCTGTACATGGATGGGTTTATGACGTTCATTGTCCTCTGGTAATGATAAGCACGTTCAACTAGCTATTCCTTTTGTTTCAATCAGATGTGATTTGCAAAGTCTTCCCATCACCACCACCACCACTGACTAGGGATATATCTGGAGAAAACCCAGGTAACCAAAACAGAATAAACCATGAACTATGAACAACTGACCACTGAATTGTCTGTCCAAGGTCCCCACTATTTCAATGTTTTGACAACTTTTTAGTGACAAAAATCTCAAGGAACAATATTTTCAAAATTGTAGGCTGCAACCTTATGGCTTATGCTGGTACTGTCTGCCCTGCAGATACTTGGAATCACAGCTTTGTCTCCTTTTGTGTCTCCTAAAGTGATCTTTATGAATTACTTCCAGCTGGAGTGTAGCTAGATCTGGTGCAGTTGTTTATCTTGTTTAGAGCACCATGCAGGGCCCTTTCAAAGGTTTGTCCAAGTTAGGACTCCAAACTTTCATTCTCTTATTACCATAAAAGTCAATCTGCTTCTGATCAGAAATTAGCCAGTGGTCCACCAACTGCCTTCTGCCCACCCTGGCAGTAGCAGGTTACTGATGAGCAGCTAGAAAAGATGATGATGATGATGATGATGATGACGATGATGATGATAGCAGCCTTTCTTCCTCTTCTAAAGGTGCAGATGTTCAGAAATGATGAAACTAATAAGAAACAAGATCTCATCCTGGTTCACTGGCTATAGAAACAGGAAGATACAAAACAGGAGGAATGCTTTGGAGCTGTCTGGTGGAACTGAGTTGCAAAAGAAACCTAGTGGGATTTGATGATGTCTCAGTTCAGAAAAAGCACTCTATGGGTGCTCATTTAGGTAGAGTAGGCACACTCTACCTGCTGGCTTTAGTGTTTGAAGGGGGCGGGATCTGTTTGATAGTTTTTTGTTTGGAAAATGCCTGGACTACTTTTGTTTCCCATTCCCTGTATTTTGATATGTGTAATAATAATGGAGCTACAAAATGTTGAACAAAACGTATAAGCAGCCAATCAAAATCTTTTGTGCCGTCCTGTCAAAACATTTTCTTTGAAGGGCTCCAAACTCTGTTATCATGTGCTGTACAACTCCCCTTAGATTCTGTTTTGCAGCCCTCTTGGTAAGCAATTGTTTGTATTGAGTATAGTTGTGTTAATTTGTTTGACAGCATGAAAAGCTAAAAGTGCTGGGTGATTCTTTTTGCTTTTATTGTTCGCTTGAAGCAAATCAAATGGAATCCATTGCCTTGCAAACATAACTCCTGCATAATTAAGCCAATCTCTGGTGATGGAAATAAAGCTTGGGTGGTGATTAGCATAGCATTAAGTCCTTTGAAGGAGAAGATGTGTATTGCTGATCTGCTGGATTCACATTTAGCTCTCTGCAGTTTAAAATATGCTCTGTTGACTTCTGATGTGCTTTTTCTGCATTGGCTTCCCATTCCCATCAAAACAGAGCCCGTCCCAGATCAGTGGATATGAGGATCTGCCACTCTCCTCCATTCAGAAGTAAAAGGGGGCACCTTCTGGGAGTGGAAACTCTGGAAGATCTTAGGAACTTCTGTGTCCACAGCAAGTCACTGTGCCGGGGGTTTCAGAACAGGATTCTTGGGGACAGAACGGTTTGGTGTCCTCTGAAGAAACCCAAATATGAAACCCTTTCTAAGCATATGGTTGATGGTCCTTGTCTGTCAGGGTTTTTAAAAAATGTTCCATTAAAATTGACTGATATGGCCATTTCAATTTAGAGGGCTGGTTAGACTGTGATTGCAAAAGTGCCCTAATGAAAACAAGTGCTGAAATTATGTACATGGTGAACAATCTGTGAATAAAAGCCCCAGTGAACAAATCCTAACAAGTCTTAAATCCTTAAAGGGAGGAAGGGGGGAATGTTGCTGGAGAAATGTAATACTTAAAATCAGCAGAACCTCGTGGTCAGTGAATAAGTGGAGCAAGGAGCCTATGCTTCTGAGGTGAATAAACATCCCTCAAGAAGAACTAATATTTTAAGCATTTCATCTCATCCCTTCATATGCATGAGTTCCCTTATGCATGAGGCCAGCTGGAAAGCTCCTGTTTCCTATTTCCACAAACTACATGTATGCCAAGAGGTTTACAGGGTCCAGAGATCTAGCTGAACTGTACCCCGAGCTAAGCACTACCTGTGCCATGAACCTCACTATCAGTTCCTTGCTTGGCTTGCACTTTCCTTATCATCTTTTGAGCACATATACTGGATTCTTGCCCAGGGCTTCTGCTGCTGCAGTTGTGATACTGAACTCCTGCACACATGGCATTTGAGACCTAAGATCCACACCAAGATGAAAAACAGTTGGGGAGATCAGCACAGTAAAGGGAAACAAAAAAGCAGGTCAGTCAATATTTCTATTCACCTCTGGCCTCTACCTGCAGTAGAAACAGGAACCACAAACAACTCCTGAATACCTTCTTTGTTTTTGGAGCTTTGTTTCTCCTATGCTGGAGATCTTTAGCCAGCAACAACAAAAAGTCAGAGGGAGCAACAAATTATTTTGATCACTTCGGCTGCCCTTTACTGAAACTTTTCCTACACTACAGTATCCTTATCGTAGCGAGACAACCAGAACTGTACACAGTATTCCAACTGTGGTCGTTGCACAATAGATTTGTTATAATGGCCTTATATCAGCAGCTTTGCTTTCAGTTCCTTTCCTACACCACTGTATATGTGAAATTAAGATTATTTTGCCTCTACATGCATCACTTGACACAGGTGAACCTGTCCCTTGGACCTACCATTTCAAGCTGCAGTCAGGGACTCACATGACTGAATGTTCTTTTATATATACTCACACAAAAAACTGAACATGTGAGGGAGAAGAGTAGACTAGAACCCTTTCCCCTAACATCTAGTTTTGCAGGTGTACAGATTTTTTTTGATTTTTTTTGTATGGAGGATTGAATCCTGTGCACTCTCACTGACCGGATGAAATGGTACAGCCCAGAGACAAGTCTACTGCACCAATCTGCAGACATAGCTGGATAGCTGCAAAACACTGCTATGAATGTGGAGTGAAAACAAGCTTTTGAGGAATGGTTCCTCTGGTTCTGATTAATTCAGCGTCAAGGGATAATGCCTGCTATCTTTAATCCTAGACTGTTTTAATTAAAATTGAATTTAGGGATTAAGTTGGCACACAAAAGTTCATTAAATAATGTTTCCCGGAGCAGCCTCTTAAAATATATTTGGACAACTATAAAGAGATATTTCAGTAATATTTCACACATACTTTAGGGAGCCAAACTTGCTTTATGAGTATTCAGTGGTACCATGAATTAAAATGCTTTTGGCATTTGTAGTTACAAATTGGGCACCACCAGTGTGGGTGAGCTGAAGATACAAGCATCTTTTTTAATTAAACCAAATTTCTGCATCCATACTATTGAGACTGAGATTTTAAATTAATGGCTTTTCCAATTCTATAATTGGCAATAACAGTCTTCCTCCCAGAGCATTTAGAAATACTTGGTTGTTTTTATACAACATGATTTTTAATGCAATTCTCAAATTACATTTATGTAGTGCAGGGATTTTGTTTTCATATCATTTTGTCATATTAATTACAGCACCAAAACCTGTCATAACTGAAGGCTCTGTAGCCTCAAGTGATTCTGCAAAATTAGCTGTTTACAGAAAGGGAGCTCTGAGTTCTTTTTCAGAGATGAAAAAAAATCAGTTCACGTTGCATCATGTTGAACACACAGTTTCAGTCAATCATCATTTGGACAGGTGACTCTGTGACTCCATATAACAAATACAGTTCTTGTGTGGAGGATCATTCATCCGTCAAAGCTTTTAAAAGAAAGAAGAAAGCTTATTCTGATGGATGCTGCATAGAACAAAACTGAGTAAATCTGCCAAGATATCAATGAATGAAGAGATGTGTTTTCAGGAGTCTACAATTTTTGGCTGGCCTTGTTGGCCAAGCCAAAGGCTACAGTCACCAGCTACCACCCCCACCCACTGGTAATGAGTGCCTTAAAACAATGGTGTCCTACCCTCTCATCCCTACCTTTCCTACTCAGGAGTAGGAAAGGCAAGTGAAGAATGCTGCCAGTTTGGCCAAGGCTCTCCAGACACCTAGGTCACACAGATGCCAAACAACCTCCAGCCCTCCTACCAACTATGGAGCAGGGGACGAAGCAGGGGTGGCTGCACAACTGCCAGGGAGATCTCTCCCTACCTCGGCACCTTCAGAATGAAGAAGAAGAAGAAGAAGAAGAGTTTGGATTTGATATCCCGCTTTATCACTACCTGAAGGAGTCTCAAAGCAGCTAACATTCTCCTTTCCCTTCCTCCCCCACAACAAACACTCTGTGAGGTGAGTGGGGCTGAGAGACTTCAGAGAAGTGTGACTAGCCCAAGGTCACCCAGCAGCTGCATTTAGAGGAGCGGGGACACAAACCTGGTTCACCAGATTACAACTCTTAACCACTACACCACGCTGGTGTAGAATGGGAGGAAGGTTGGTTGCTCATCACACTTGAGTGTGGCAAGCAGAATTGTTGAAACCTATGTGTCTTGCCTTTCTCAGTTCCTCCACAGAGTGTCAACTGTCTTCACTAAAATCCTCATCCTGCTAAATTATGCACCCTTGCCTATATTTCAGGATGCCTTTTCCCATTGAAGTTGTACCCTAAGAGACTTAACTCCCCACCTTCCTTCTCATATTTTGTCTCCTTTTAACGGATTCTAAATCCTTGATTTGCCACCATTTTGATGTGTGACATACCTGATGGATGGCCCTACCAGCAGAGGCTCAATATAGGAGAAGCATGTGGCAGCTATTTTGAAGATTTGGGACAGATGAAAGACAATTGCTTCTTCACACAGTGCTTAGTTAAACTATGAAGCTCACTCTCACAGGAGGCAGAGATGGCCACCAATATGGATGGCTTTAAAAGAGGACTGGACAAATTCATGGAGAATAAGCCCATCAAAGGCTACTGGCAATCATGGCGATGCTCCCCCTTCACGACTGGAGGGAGTGATGCTTCTGCAGGTGCTAGAAACTGCAGGAGGGGAAGATTCTCTCATGCCCAGGTCCTGGTTGTGGGTTTCTCACAGGCATCTGGTTGGCCACTGTGAGAACAGGAGGCTGGACTAGATGGGCCATTGGCCTGATCCAACAGGCTCTTCTTATGTTCTTCTAGTACTGTAGATCTGGTGTAATTATCTGGCCAGCATTGGTGACGTCATTCCTCCTATTTTGATTTAACACACAATGAACTTCATGCTGCAGTTGTAGATATTTCTCAAATCAAGCAGATTCAGGTATAACATTGCATTAAGATCGGCATGTGGGAGCAAGAAAGCTGGAGTCAAGTATCTGGCATGGCATTAGTAGGCAAGCTTGCCTAAGGTATTTTGGCATTGTTTTTAAACTCCCACATGATTTCTCAGAAACACTTCCCAGGGGTATCATCACTCAAGCTCATTATAATTGTTAGGCAAGGTTGGTTTTGTTATTACTTGTGTAACTGCATTGGCTGGCTAAACATGCCAATTGGTTTATACTACTGGCCCTTTTGGGACGTGGGTGGCACTGTGGGTTAAACCACAGAGCCTAGGACTTGCCGATCAGAAGGCGACGGGGTGAGCTCCCGTTGCTTGGTCCCTGCTCCTGCCAACCTAGCAGTTCGAAAGCACCTCAAAGTGCAAGTAGATAAATAGGTGGGAAGGTAAATGGTGTTTCCGTGCGCTGCGCTGGTTCGCCAGAAGCGGCTTAGTAATGCTGGCCACATGGCCCGGAAGCTGTATGCCGGCTCCCTCGGCCAATAAAGCGAGATGAGCGCCGCAACCCCAGAGTCGGCCACGACTGGACCTAATGGTCAGGGGTCCCTTTACCTTTACTGGCCCTTTTATTTTGTGCTCTTCTCCTTCCACCTCCACACAAAAAATGGTAAGTAAAATCTTTCTAGCCGGAAAAGGCCTTTTCAAACTGAGCAGCCATCAGCTGGGCCTTTTCAGAGGCTGATGTGTTCTTGTTGTTGCTGCTGCTGCTGCCATCTGGGGCACCATGGGATGGCAGAACTGGTTCTGTTTCTGAGGAGGCACTGTTGTTTCTAATTCACCTACATATGTTGATGGCTCATAATAAGACGTAATATAGCAAAATATTTTAATTGCATCATTTTAAAGTTTGCAAACTGAAGATAGTACTGAGTTTGAGACATCCATGTTTTGTACAAATAAAATTTAATCAGCTCAGAGTCTTTTGGATACATAATGAAATGCATAAGAGAAAGTGTCTGTCATGGAGGCCACAGGGAGGAAGAGCACCTTAATGGGCAGCAAGTTACCAGCCTGGGCTGCAAAGAAGGGCCTTCAACCACTTGTGACTCAAGAAAACATATGATTAAGAACAAATGCACATGGTTCTGTTAAAATAGGCATCTGGTCGGCCACTGTGAGACAGGATGCTGGACAATATGGGCCTTCGGCCTGATCCAGCAGGCTCTTCTTGCATTCTTGAACTATTTCTTGTTCAGTTCTTCTGACCTGCTCATTACTGAAACAGAGCATTACAAAGTACCTTAAGTGGCTCACAAATACTCCTAAGACATGGCCTTTACTTGGTTTCAGATTCTGTTAGCAGATATTCAGATATTCTCTTTCCTCTTCAGTTAACAGTTAGCAATATATATGTCAGCTGGAGATAATGAAGCAACAGTATGCTTCCGTGTTCTTCTTTCTTCAAGTGCTAGGCAGTTTGGGGATAGACTTCACATGGTTAAGGCTACAGTCCTAGCTGGAAGTAAGTCCCATGAAGTTTAGTGGGATGTTTCAGCAGGTATACTTTGGATTGGGCTTTTTGGGGAGGAGAGTAAACGGGGAAATTGTGGTGCCTATGTAATAGTCCTTTTTACAAGCATACAGGCTGAGAAGGCACCAAAGCAAGCATACAGGTTGGCTGGCTGTGCAAGTCCCACAGCATTCTTAGCAAGCAAGCAAGCGCGCGCGCGCACACACACACACACACACACACACAAACACACACACCGGGGCACAAACACCTTCCATAACAAGAGAGTGGGGCTCACCATAGCAGGCTTCCTCAAACTTGGCCCTCCAGCTGTTTTGTGTCTACAATTCCCACCATCCCTGACCACTGCTCCTGCTAGCTAGGGATTGTGGGAGTTGTAGGCCAAAAACATCTGGAGGGCCGAGTTTGAGGAAGCCTGCACCACAGTATGCTAAGCCAGGTACTGCATAGTTATGTATTTGGGCTTCAACTGTAACTTGTACTTACATTTGAGCACATATGCAAATTGGGGAGGGGGGCTCTCTTGTTGTGAGCAGCAGACAGGAGTGCAGCCGGGATATGTGAACAACCGAAATAACAAAAAGACAAAGCACCAAATGACACCCCCCCCCAAAAGCAAAGCTTTTTAAATGCCAAACTGTGCTATATAATCTCAGTGAAAATTTAATAATTTCTTATTTGAAAAGTTAGGAAAATATCCTTAAATCTGCACTAGGCATAAGTTTTAATCTTTTTTGTCAGTATACATTTAATCTTTTAAATTAAGAGGATTAGTCCATTTCAACTAATTGGGAAGTCTGAATTCATCAGTAGTATTGTTGTCATTTCCCCCTCCCCTGTGCCTGCCCCCGGATTAGTGTCAGTGACTCAGTTGTGTCATCTGATTCTGCTGAGTGGGAGGCAACCATTAAGCACATGAATTCAGAGAAGGCTACTGAATCTGTTAGCTAGATAGTGAAGATATTTACAGTATTAGCCTAAAATGAATGTAATTAAGACAAACACATTTTTTAAAATTGATCCAAGTAAGTGATGCACAGCAGTGCTTTATTCTTTCAAGCTGAATGCAACTATTAATGCAGTTAAGGGACAAGTGCTACACATGCGCCATTTTATGGTGGAAGGAAGCCACCTGAATGGAAGCCACAGGGTGCTATCTGAATACTCATTTGCCAAAGCCAGAATTGTGCTTGCTCAACTACATAGTCCAGAAGCTCCAGGCCTTGCTTGGAGAAGTTTAGCATTGTTAAGGTTTGTCCTCATCTTTCAGTGTTGCAGGCCGTTTGCTTTCTTCCCATAATGATTATAAAATTACCACTTGTCTCTTCAACTCTAAAAATGTCAGTGATCTGGGCCTCAGGGGAAATGCTATAAGGTTAGTTGCTCAAACAAGTGTTTAATTGCCATTGGCATCAGACAGAGGTCAGTCACTCTCAGGCTGGATGAGCGACCCTCAAACCCAGCCCTCCAGATGTTTTTGGCCTACAACTCCCGTGATCCCTAGCTAGCAGGACCAGTGGTCAGGGCTGATAAGAACTGTAGTCTCAAAACATCTGGAGGGCAGAGTTTGAGGAAGCCTGACCTAGAGGTCTGGCAAACAGTGGTCCCTGCCTTCTTATCTTACTTTTCCCTATTCCAACCTTCCTCTTTCCTCAGTAAATATTTCAGTTCCGTTTTAAAATGGCAATGTGAGTCCTGGATGATAAAGCGATGTGAGATAAGCTTCATTTGAGTTATGAAAGATCTGTGGCCAACAGCAGATCGTTCAAACACTGACGGCCATTTATTTTCTTCCTGTGACCCTGTTCTGTGTAGAGAGATGTATGGAGAAATTTCAGTGTCAGCCAGGCTGGGTTGCTCCAGTGAAGTGCTTGAGCCAATACTTCCAAGGGGGAGTGGATGATGAAGTGCATAGTTCACGGCTGAACCTTCCCACACCCTGCATTTTATTTGCATTTTTATGACTGCTTGCAAATTTCACAGTTGCTAAAGTGGCACTGGAAGGTAAAGAAAGTTGCCTGATGATCTCAGTGGGGTGTGACCAAACAGCACATGTCTTCCAGCCTAATCAAGCAATTCTTAAAACTTGTCCCGTGAGCTGCTGAAAAGATAGTAAGAGTCACCCAAGCAACTGGCACTATATACTACTGCTGTGCTGCCAGGAAGCAGGGTGAATAAAAATAAATGATTCTTTAAAAATATTTTTTTAAAAAATGGATTTTTTTTATTTAAATCAGATTTTTTAAATTTAAATCAGATTTTTAAAATTTAAATCAGATTTTTAAAATAAAATGCTTTTGGGAGAAAAATCTTTCTAAAGGTAGTTTTCTGCTTAAGTTACATTATAGTCCAAAGGCTATTCATCAGGAAATAAGGATTTGTTTACAGTTTTTCATGTGTGCTAAAACTCAGTCTAAGGTTGTTGTTTTTTAATTTAAAAAATTAAAAATAAATAAAGTACAAAAATAAAGTCCCAATAAAGTACAGCAGAAAAGTTGTCCAAATATAAACAATAATTTCATATTTATCTGTCTATGTATTTCTGATTGTATAACCAAATCAGCAATTTTTGATGTAACTGTAAAAACTACTCTGAAAATTTATTATTCCAAAAATGAAACCTTCCTCTGGTTGTAAATATTAAGAGGATGCCAGCAAGGTTAAACCTTTCTGTAAAAATGATGTAAATCAAGTCTTACTTACTAGTGATTCGATTTGATTTAAATCAAATCCACCCTGCCAGGAAGACAGGGATAATTTGTCTGTTTGCCCAGAAATGTGGGAACACTTCCCAGTATTCTGATGCTGTGCTGTAAGAGAAGAGGAAGAAAGGCATGGGATTGCCACATGCTACCCAGGCAACTCATGTGCTCCACTCTGTTTTGACTCAATTTTGGTGGCATTCCCTCAATAGATGGCTGCTGTACACCATATTCGTTTACAGCCCCAGTGTGTAGCTAGTTCACTCCAAGGTTTTCCTGCATGTGATTTGCATATAGGTGAGGAAAATAATCAGCTCACCTGAGTGAACTAGTCCTTATTCGCATCTTATGTACCTCATGCCATTATTCATCGCCATCCTGAAACAACCAAGTCTGCAGAGGTTGCCACTTTGCATCTCCTGTCTTTCCTCTCAATAATCCCTGCGGAGTCATGATCCACACTTTGGGGCACATCCTCACCTTTGGCTGTTTATAGCTGTAATTTAAGACGGACTCCTCCCATATTTGAGAAACACTGCACTAAGCACTTGAGGCTACAGCACTGAGACTGCACTGTGCTGCCTAGTCAAGTAGGTCTTAACATTTGTTCAAAGCTTGACCATATAAATCTGCAAAGTATTTCAATCGGCCTCATACAACTCATGATACAACAAGCCAGACAAGCAACAATGAAATATTATGGGCTGCCAGATGGCTGATTCCGCCCCGACCTCACCCCTCTCCCCCCCTCCCCGTCCCAGGCAGGCAGAAACAGCTTCACCAAACCTTTAGTGAGCCTCTGTCAATGCTCAAATATGCTCCACAAATTGTGCAAGCCTGCTGCAAATGATCCCAAATTATAAGCACGTGTATGTGTACATAGTGATAACAGAGTCGGCCTATATGGGCTCAAGTCCCATTTCCGCCCCCTGGTTCTGTCAACCTCAGAAGCCCATATATGAAACGGGTACAACAGTGACCTGGCTAAAAGAAGTAAATTGAATTTGGATATACAACTCTGAAATTATTTGATGATGCATGCTGCGCTCTGAAGTCTTAATACTGTATAGGTCACATGCCAAGCAACGCGGGCCGTTCGGCATAAAGTTAAACCGGACTGCTCTGCGAGAGAGCTCGCAACGTCTGTCAAGTCGCAAGGCGTCACTTACTCCCGAGTAAGCCCGCTTAAGGCTGAGCTAAAAGCACATGGCTCTCTTAATAAGGCCTCGCCGGGGGCAGGGGGAGGGGAGCTGAAGGCACCCAAAGAGATTCGCTTTTACTTTTCATCCAAAGTTGACAGCACTTCCGCGCCTCCCGTCCCCACCGCCGCCTCAAAAGACCACCGAGGCCGCCGCGTCTTCTTGCTTCCCGCCCGGACAGGGAGAGCGCCTCCCTGCTCAGGTTTCTCAGCAGGCGGGCCGAGGCGGGCGTCACAAGAGGCCTGACCGGAGCCTTGGGCCGCTCTCTGCAAGGTCGCTGAGCTGGCGGCCGAGGGGGGCGGCGGCCTGGCAGGGCGCGGGCGGGACCTCCCTCCCTCTCTCCTCCTCCTCCTCCTTCCCCGGGCCGCTCGCTGGCAGGAACTCCGAGCAAGTCCCGCCGCCGCTTCTTGGAAGCGAGGAGGCCGCCGCGAGAGTCGCGCGCCGCCGCTGCCGCGAGCTGAGCTGAGGCTCCCGCGTGGAGAGGAGCGCAGAGAGAGGAAAGGCGGCTGGAGGGGGCGGAAGAAGAGCGCTCTTGAAGCGTGTGCGTTTCTCCTCGGAGGGTATCTCGGTTGGGAAGGGGCGGTCTGGAGTGGGGCAGCAGGAGACAACTCGGGGGTCGTGTCTTCTTGCTTGAAAGGATCTTCTTGCGCATCCACAGCCCACCCTCTCCGCGGGCTGAGTTTGGTGAGGGTCTTCTGAGCACTTTTGGGAGGCTTTGGAGTAAGATAGCCTGCTGCCTCGTCTTCTTTGCTTCGCTTCATATTCGTCTAAAAACTCGGGAGTGCTCCAGTCGTAACAAAGCATCTTTCTACTCAGCTGCTGCTGTTTAAACCGAATTTATGCAGTTAAACACTTAGCACCCTTGGCCTTCATTATTGTCGTTGTGTTTTTGGCGGTTCTCCTCCCTCAGTAGAGAGAGTTTGAGTGGCTAACGTTTAATAGTATTTATTTATTTTATTTAAGAAAATTTATATACTGCTTATTGTGTATATGTATGTGTGTATATATATATATATATATATATATATATATATATTTAAAAGGCTAAAAGGGAACCTGATTGTGAAGGAAAAGGTTTTGAAATATCTGTTTGGGTCTATCATCCATTCAGAACTGGAATAACACACCCACTTCACTGGAATGTTTGCCCTGTATAATCTCTCACACCCTCCAAAAGTAAGCTCAGGTAAATCAATAGTGCTTCTTTCCCCACCCTCTAATATATAGTGTTCAAAGTGGGATTCAGAGTCACACATCTCACCTGTAGCGGTGCAAGAATGATCACAGATTTCCCAATTTGGATGTCAAGGTAGGAAGTGGGGCAAAAAGCATCAGCCACAGAAGTTGCTGCTTTTCCCATTTCCTTGTAAATGTTTGAAACAAGTCATGAAATTGCAATACATGCACAATTCAGTAATGGGAGAGAAAGATAAAGGTTTCAAGTAGATTCTCAAGGCAGACAAGAAGGAACATTTCAGAAATTGGATTGAGATTGATGTGACCTTTGTGCAGGGGGAAAGAACGGTTGTGGAAGGTACAGTACTGATATTTTTCAAGATCTGTTTGAATATAAAATAGTTGAGCATCTTTTAAACAGGAGTGACAAGTTTGGAATCTAATCCTATAATACATGGGACTCTGAAGGAAAGTTTGGATAACATCACCCCAGAGGATGCATACTTTTTTAAATAATAAAAGTGTGGTTTTAGTTATCATATGACGTGTAGTGGAAGCCAAGGGCCTGGTCTGGCGAAAAAAGAATGGACCTGTTGTAACTTACTGCTACCTTCTGGAATGTGTGATTTACCTGTGAACATTTGCTTCTGATCACGGTGTTAGTGTTCTTTCTCTTCTTGTGGAGAGAGTGATTCACAGAGTCTTTGGAAGAAGATGTTAAGCTTCAGTTATAAACATGGGTATTTGGATATGTGTGATCCCCCATTATTATATCCAGGTGTTTTTACATCCAACATTTTAGGGTTGATTCATAAAGTCAGTTTTCTCTATACAAAAGCAGTCACTGTCCAGCCTTGGAATGCAGCTTGTGTGGATAAATATTTGTACATGGATCGGACTGCAGCAATTTCCATAAGCATCGTGGTTGCAACAAATACTGTGGTCACAGAAAAAGAACTGCAGCTCACTGCATTCTGTGTATAGCCCTATTCATGTTAACTTTTTCCATGCATAATTTCAGGCACATGATGCCCAAGGCAGACTATGAATGCTTGTATTAAGGGAAATTGACTTAGTAAGCCAAGCCTTTGTTATCAAATCTGAAATACAGATTTTGGAAGCTTTGTTATTTATTTCTGAAGGTCCTAAGAACTGAGCAAGGTCTCTGTATAGGTAGGTAAGAATAAAAGGTAGATCCTGCCTGCAGGGTTGCAGTCTAAAAGAGGAAGGGAAGAACAATAACATTTACCCTGGAAAAGCCAAGGTACATGTGGGTCTTTTAGTGAGGAAGTGTTGTAGGAATAATAAAATAAGAGATCAAACTAATGTCAGAAAAAGAGGATTTCCAGTGTTAGCAGAAGATCAAAAGTAAAGGGATGCAGTCAAGCACAGAGGTTTAGTTAATAGGAGGTATGGAACCCTAGTGTTAAATCTATAGGAGTCTTTGTCTTATTTCTATGGGCTTGTGTTGCTATTTGATTTACACCTGGTGTCACTGGTGATATGGTCATAATCGTAAACATTAATCTGGCAGTCAGGTACAAATGTAGATTCATTCACTCATGAACTTGTTGAATGGTCATAGGCAAACCATGGATTCTGGGGTCCAAACTACATGTTATGAGGACACTAAAGGCTATCACATTTCTCCATGGTAGTTTACAGTAAAAGAATAAATGTGTGACATGACATTGTGTTAGCTTTTATACAGTAACTATCAGTAGCCTCCCCCATGTAACTATCAGTAGCCTCCCCCTGCAGAAAGCAGGGCTTGAACTGTAGTGACCAGCTGATTGGCATTGACTTCAAGCGTCACATTAATCTTTCTTTGCAGTGTGGCTTGAATTCAAGCAATAGAAAAATGGGATTTCTGACATCATTGCCCTGTCCACCTGTCATAGTAGTCCAATTTGGGGCAGCAGAGCCAGGGTCCAGTTCAGTAGCTGGAAGAGATTCCCGACCCTGATACAGAGCTATCCCTCAAAATGAGCTGGAAATGGTTCAGAAAAGGTAACCAAAATTATTAAGGGACTGGAGCAATTCCCCTATAAAGAAAGGTTACAACATTTAGGGCTTTTCATATGGAAACAAGGCCAGTTGTTGGGGGATATGATACAGGTGTTTAAAATTACATATAGCATTGAGAAATTAGTTAGAGATAAGTTTTTATCCCTGTCTCGTAATGTTAGAATAAAGCTGAATGTTGAAAGATTCAGGGCAGGCAAAAGAAAGTGCTTATTCACTAAGTGCATAGTTTAAACTATGGGGATAACTCCCATGAGATGTAGTGATGATGGCCATCAACTTGGATGACTTTAAAAGATCGGACAAAGTCATGGAAGATAAGGCTGTCAATGAGGTCTGTGAGTAAAGATGCCTGTGTACTGCCTCCGGTATTGGATTCAATATGCTTCTGAATACCAATTCTTGGGGAATCAAAAATGGGGAGCGGGCTGTTGCTTTCATGTCCTGCTTGCAGGTTTCCCGTGGGCATCTAGTTGGCCACTGTGAGAACAGGATGCTGAACTAAATGGGTATTTAATCTGATACAACAGGGTTGCTCTCATGCTTTTTGATTGCTCCCCTGTACTTTCTATTCATCTCATGCAGCAGCATTTTTTAATCAGCCAAAAGTAGGTAACACCTAGAATTACATAAACTTACACAAATATCCTTGGAGCAGTGCTCATGTGTGAAGCAGGAAGTTGCACATTTCCACTATGCTTGTGATTCAGATGTGGGATGTCCCACATTTCTTTGTCAGGTAATACGCAACACTGAGGCTGTCTCTGCAATATAACTGTCACAGATGAGAGAAGCCCTAGCTAGGCTGTTTGTGAAGGTCATATGCTTTCCTTCAACTAGGCCTTGATCTGAACATGAAAATTGGTCCAGGTAGCTGCTTATGTGAACTTGGCCCTCTGCTTTGAATAGTTACCAGGTCAGTGGATCCGTTAGACCTTTTAGTGTTAGTTTGACCCAGACTCAAGGAGCTGGAGGAGGAGGAGAGGACAGAGGGTGAAGAAAGAGCTATGAGTGGAGGGTGCCCCTATCCCCGTCCTTTGGATTCTCTGGGAAGCGCAGCAAACCTGCTGCACCTGGAACTGGCCGGGTATGGAGAATGCAGTTAAATGAGACACAGCTGTAGGCAGCCTGAGGAATTACCATCCACCTTGGGCTTGCCCATAAAAACAAGTCTAGAGTGAGAGACTAGGGTGATTCCCCCTGTTTCCAGGAACTCTTCTCATTGTGAGACTTTTGTAGCTGAGCTGAGCGTTTGTTGGACCCTGGGTGAGAACCCAGAGACTAAGAGGGAAGATGTGTTAGAAGGAAAATGAATTTCTATTTATTTATATACATTTGTAACCTTGTATCAATTAGCATTTTTCTATGTAATCGTGTGTTTTTTGTAATATTTTTTGTTTAAGTTGTCTTTTGCTGCTTCAGTTTTCAGTACACTGCTTAGAGATATTTTTAAATATATCAAGCGGTGTAGAAATTAAATAATCAGATTATGCTTCAGATGAGTAATCTTGAACTGACTGTGTTCATTCAGTCCTCTTACAAGTGCAGGTGAACTGTGACAATAGTACACATTGAAACAGGAGGTTTGTGATTGTGCTCCAATAGAGAAAGACATTGTATAAACCGAAAGAAACAGAAATAGCCTTTAAAAAGAAATGGAACATAGATATGCAGCATATTTAGCTACTAACTAAAGAGCAAATTGTATTAGAGTGGATTTCCGGTGGCATTGGGCAAATGGAAATCTCACAAAACTGAGGAAAGAGGTGATGGTAGATGTTCACATTGTAAGAGAGAGAAAGGAAAATTTATACATTTGTGGTGGGAATGTGAAAAAAACTGGAACTTTTTGGTCTAGGGTCACTAAAGCCCTTAAACAAATCTACAGAAATGAAATAACATTACATTTTTTTTTCTTGTTGCCTTATGCTTTTTAAAAAAGTATTCTGTATTCCAGATACCTAAATTGATGAAAATGAAAAATAAACAATGGCCATTTTAAGAATGAGTAGTGGTTTTTCAAAAAGCTTTCTCGCATTTAGGCAAAATGATGCCCTTTCTTGGGAAAAAGCACTTCCAGGTGAGGTTCTTGACTCATCACATGGACATCTTAGTCCTGGTGTTTTCCTGCTAACATTGCTCAGGCTACTCAGGGCAAATTTTAAGGGTGAAAATTTTAGCTAAACTTAACATATCTCTAGGAATTAAAAGTTACCGACAAAAGCTGTAAGATAGTTTGTATACTGTAGAGAAAGTAACTGCTTGTGCAAAAAAATACTTTCTCCTCTACAAAATGAAAGTGTACTGGTACATACTGAAGTGTAATGTGAGCAAGCCAACTTCATTGCCAGGCAGCTTTCTCACAAGCCTTTCCGCGCGCCCCCCCTTAGGACAGAAGTCTGTTACTGCAGTCTAGACACTCTTCAACATTTGTTGGATGAATATACAGCTGTTTTGCTGTATGTGCATTCAAGGACACTAAGCTAGAATAAAGGCTCTTTAATACAGGCACTCTGGTTGGAATTAATCATAGCTTCCAGGCTGTCTGAGAAGCCACACTGACGACTACTTCATATTTAAAGAGGTCTTCGAATATGAATGCCCATGTTAGTGAGCTTCCTAAATGTAACATATATGATTTACTGCTAAACATATTGTGGAGATGTGGAGTCAGATCCAGAGGTTTGAATCAATAATGCTAGAGATCACTTTTGGAAGCACCACTGTGCATTCAGAGTGTACCACATTACCTCTGGATTGGGAGAGCTGAAGTGTTTAGAGTGCTGAACTATGACCAAGGGAGACCTGGGTTCAAATCCCCACTCTTCTGTGAAGTTCATTGGGCCAGTAACTAAATTCTCAGCCTAGCCTACCTCACAGGGTTGTTGTAAGGGGGAAATGGGAGGGGGGGAGAACTTGTACACCATCTTGAATGCCTTTCAGTAAAGGTGGAATATAAATGTAATTGATAACGGTCATACAGTGGACTATATGCTCCTTATTCTTAAGGAAACTTTAGAAGCAGCCTTTGACAAAACGCAAGGATCTGCTGCAGGGAAAGGAAAGTGGGAAGACACTCATTTACCTGTATCTGATTTGGCCAGTACTATACATTTTCAGTTTACTTTGACTCTCTTCCATCCTGGACATGAGGGCTTTTTAAAGCCTTTGGGTGACTCACATATCACAATATAAGAGCATTGTAAGGCATGACTTAGTGCAAATATTGCAAAGAATGTCTGCAAATAGTTCCAAAGTTCAGTCTTCCTTTTACTCTCACTCTGCTACTATTCCTTTAATATTCTTTCTTAAAATGTTGTTGTTTTCTTGAGGTCTTTTGTCATGTCATTTGGTCTTGCTGAGTAGGGCAGTGAGCAAAAGTGGTTATGAAGGATGCTTGAGAAGCTGGCCACTAACTTCATCTTCTTGACCCAGTGAGAACTGAGTCAAGGCTCATACCTTTCAGCTCCCTGATATTTGTCTCAGTGACTTGTTCTTTCTTACTCCCCCTCCACAGCCCCTGAAATATAGGGCTTTGTACTGAAGCTACCCTATTCCCTTTGGTGTGTGAAGTGGCTCAAATGTCCTTTGAGCTGAGCTGTAGCCTATACTATAGCTTTGCTTTTCTAACAGAGAGGTGTATGGGTAAGGAAAGAGAAGGACAGGAAGCAAGCTGGGTAGGAAAAAATGACCATGGAGACAGGACAGGTATGTTCGACACTGAAGCCTTGGTTTTGGGATTGTGAACTCTTTTACAAAGCTGGATTTAAGGTGTCAGTCATAACCTTTAAAGCCAATACAAATCTTGTTTTAAAGTCGTTTAATTTCAGCTGCATAAATTGATTGGGGGGTTTTCTTCTTCCTACCAGTGTTGCATAGTGTTCGTTTTGGAAACCCAAAACTTGGCTCTGTTTCTGAATGGCTTTGGAACAATCAGTGGCTCTTGGCCATTTGAGGATCAAAATGAGAGTATTCTATGTATGCTAGCCTGAACTCCATAGAAGCAAGAGACAAAACTGACAAGGTGGGATATAAATGCAATAAATAAGCTATTCTGCTTACCTGCTTAAGAAAGCTGGAAGGGCCAGCCAGATAGAGATGTCAGTCACCAATCTGGCATGCAGAGATCTCCATGTGGTTGCAATTGGACCTGCACCAGTTGCAAAATGTGCCTGGCACCTGGGGAATTTCTAACAATAGATGTCTCTATTGCTGCCTTCGCCCACTGTACACATGTACCTGGCCCAGCACTGAAGTCAGTGGCAAAGTCTGCTTCCATAGGAGACTCTCATGTCTCCGGTGTATCAATGGAACTGTTTAGGCTTAGAGCTGCTGCTTCTGCTTCTGACGCAGGCTAGGGTGTTGTTGCTTTTCTTTGGTAAGTTGTTAGTTTTTTCAGATAACTTGTTGTGTTTGCTTTAATAAGTTTGAAATCTGTATGTCGGTTCAAAAAATAATTCTGTCTTCTTTTCCTTCTGTTTCCCCACCAGTCTAGTGAGCCCTGAAGATGGCAGCAGAAGCCAATCATGTCCATTCAGGGTTTGAGATGGCAGAAGTAAATGATGGCCCACCAAACAGCCGTCGCACGATCTGCCTAGAACGTATAGAAAAGAGCACAGACATCAAGGCACATGTGCTGAAGAAAGTGAAGAAAAAATGCACCTGCACTCCAGCTACTGCCAAAGACCTGCTCTTCAGCTTCCTCCCAGTGCTGAAATGGCTCCCCAAGTACAACCTGAAAGAGAACATCTTGGGAGATTTAATGTCTGGCTTGATCGTGGGGATCTTGCTGGTTCCACAGTCCATTGCCTATTCTCTGCTGGCTGGCCAAGAACCTATCTATGGCCTTTATACGTCGTTCTTTGCAAGCCTCATTTATTTCCTGTTTGGAACTTCCCGTCACATCTCTGTTGGCATTTTCGGTGTACTGTGCCTGATGATAGGAGAAGTAGTGGACCGTGAAGTACAGAGAGCTGGGTATGATTTGGCACCAAACGTTCCTAGTAGTTATAACTCAGACATGCATCTTTCCGTAAATAACAGCACACTGGGGCCTTTGACTGTGAATGAGACATCACATTTGTTATGTGACAGAAGTTGCTATGCAATTAGCGTTGGAGCCACAGTGACTTTCATTGCTGGCATTTACCAGGTAAGAGGTGACAATCCAAAGGGCATCTGTTTTATAGGCTTCTTGTAGTTTTCCTCTCATTGCCTTCCAAGACGAGATTGGTGACAGACTGGTAACAAAGTTTCAATGCAGCCTCGTAATTAAGCATATACATGGTGATTTGGAATTTTGTTTTTGCAAGAAAATGGTTAGATTCCAATCCCCATTTAGCCCGTTACCTTGATGAGTTGGTTCAGATGTAATGCTGAACTGTAGTTGATGGGAAATGAAAAGTTGCTGCTTTGGGGCTTAAATACTGCCCCCACGTGTGACTGAGAAGAGGAGCTTGAAAGATTTTCTTCCATTTTTAGTTTAGCTGGAGGTTACTGTGTTGTATGAACTAAACAAACTGACAAATTTTAATTATGGTTTGTTGAAACACGGCAACTTCAAACTATAGTTAAGAAGCTGACTTGTTTCAACAAACCAAATTTAAGATTAACCACAGTTTAGGATTTGGCTGTAATGTTTAGCAGTGGTTATCCTAAAAAGGAAGCATACGCCCCCAACCAACCCACTTACCCAGACTATTTCATTACATTGGTTAACCACCACAAATCCCCAGGTCTAACACAGGCTTAATCCAGCCAACTCATCACAAGAGTCAAAACTTTGTTGTGGCATCAGACAACAGATAAATATTTAATAACACTGTAAAGACACACATAGCTAAATAATATAAAATGCATTCCTTATAAGAAAATCATCAGCCCCAGTTTAATATGTACATGTGCATACCTATATGTGCACACTTGCCCCATATACATGGTGCTGTTTTGAAATTTTTAAATAAAATATTGGAGAGAGGAAAACCTTCAAATCCAAAAAGGTTAATAAACAAAAGCCAAAAAAAGAAAGAAATTCTGTAAAGAACTTGAAACAAACACAAACTGATTTTAACTGGTTCCCCACTGTCAGGGAACTGACATCGGAGCTAGAGGCGGAGGGAAGGCTCTCAAATGATGCTGGAGAAGGGCCCAGCAGGGAGAGAGGCAGCTCCGCAGATGGGGAAGCAAATCAGCGCAACACCAGGGATAAAGGGGGGCAGATGGGGGAATCGGCGAGAGGGCTCCAGGACTCTTCACCGGACACCAGCGGGGAGAGCACGGGTCCTCCGCTACCCACGCCCTCCCTGTGCAGAAGACTTCCGTGCAGAGAGAGTAGGAGGAGACTGGGTGTCAAACAACTTTTATGTTGGAAAAGATTTAAGAAATGCCCACTGACGGATTCTGCTAGCGACTGAGGCAGCCACGAAGTGAAGGGCTGCACAGACTGAAAGGTTTAACAAGGCAACAAAGCCAGGAGAGGCGGCAACTTACACACGAGCAACCCATACTCATTACACCCACCATGACTGATAGTTATCAACTGATACTTTCAACTGAAATAATGTTTGCATTGTCTAGTCATACTCTTCCATCCTGTGTTGCAGAATTGTCTTCTGATCTTTTCTCCATTTCTTTTCAGGTTGCCATGGGCTTCTTTCAAGTGGGCTTTGTCTCTGTGTACCTCTCTGATTCCTTGCTCAGCGGATTTGTTACAGGTGCTTCCTTCACCATTCTTACCTCACAAGCCAAATACCTCTTGGGCTTAGACATTCCCCGTAGCAACGGCATTGGTTCCTTGATAACCACTTGGATGAACATATTCAGAAACATCCACAAGACCAACTTCTGCGATCTCATCACCAGCTGCTTGTGCCTTCTTGTTCTTATCCCAACTAAAGAGCTGAACGAGCGATACAAATCCAAACTTAAGGCGCCCATGCCCACTGAGTTGGTGGTGTTGGTGGTAGCCACACTGGCATCTCATTTTGGGAAGCTAAAAGAGAAGTATGGCTCCAGTGTTTCTGGGCATATTCCTACTGGGTTTTTGCCACCGCAATCACCAGACTGGAGTCTGATTCCCAGTGTGGCTCTGGATGCAATAGCCATAGCCATTATTGGCTTTGCCATCACAGTTTCTCTCTCTGAGATGTTTGCCAAGAAGCATGGCTACACAGTTAAACCCAACCAGGAAATGTATGCCATTGGTTTCTGCAACATCATCCCTTCTTTCTTCCATTGTTTCACTACTAGCGCAGCCCTTGCCAAGACACTTGTCAAAGAGTCGACAGGCTGCAGGACTCAGATCTCCGGTGTGGTGACTGCCTTGGTCATCTTGTTAGTCCTCCTTGTGATTGCTCCCCTGTTCTATTCCCTCCAGAAATGTGTGCTAGGGGTCATTACCATTGTCAATCTCAGAGGAGCCTTGCGGAAATTCAGTGACCTGCCCAAAATGTGGCGGTTAAGCAAAGTGGACACATTGATCTGGTTCGTCACCATGTTATCTTCAGCACTGATAAGTACTGAACTTGGCCTTCTGATTGGGGTCTGCTTTTCAATGCTGTGTGTCATTGTGAGGACGCAGAGACCAGAAGGGCACTTACTGGGCTGGGTGCCAGAATCTGAAGTCTATGAACCCCTTCCTGAATATAGGAACCTTCAGATGAAACCAGGGATCAGGGTTTTCCGTTTTGAAGCACCCATCTACTACGCTAACAAAGAAAGCTTCAAGTCCATGCTGTACAAGCAGACTGGAGTCAACCCTCTGTGGGAGTTGGCAGCAAAGAGAAAAGCGGAAAAGCGAAAGCTTAGTGAGAAAATGGTCAATGCCAACGGAAACCAGGCAGAGGTCTCAGTACAGTTTGTCGCTCACCCACTGGAGTTTCACACTATAGTGATTGACTGCTGTGCGGTGCAGTTCTTAGATACAGCAGGGATCCACACGCTCAAGGAGGTTCACAAGGATTATGGGGAAATTGGCATCCAAGTGCTGCTGTCTCAGTGCAGTCCCTCTGTGAGGGAATCCCTAGACCGAGGGGAGTACCTTAAAAAGGGGGAGGAACAATTCCTCTTCCATAGTGTGCACCAAGCTGTGGAATACGCATTGTGTGCTCACGGGAAGCATGGGCTCTGCGCCTCCGAAACCTAATTTCACTAAAGAGTGAATGGTGAATATTAGCCAAATTCAGGTAATGGCAGACTTGTGTGTGAGAGAGATAATGCTGGGCATACACTCGCACAGAAGTAAAGGGCTAATTATTTTATTCATATGGTGTGGGATCATACAAGAAGTTTTGATGCTTTAATTTTGCTATGTTGGACACAACATTAAGAAGGTGAGAGGCAAGGTGGATTATTATGTCTACAAGCTCTCGTGACAGACAACAGAACAAATACTCTTTAACACCAGATGTACCTCATAGTCACACCCCCTTCTCCTTTTAGCGTTTTCATGTCCCCAACTTTTCACCTCGCCTTAAAGCCCACTTTGGTGTATGAAAATAGTGCCGCCTTTCTGGGTGGTCCCCCCTCCCCCCGCCTTGAAATAAGAAATATGGTTTGGATCCTAAATGACAGGAAGTTAATGGAAGGAAGGTTTTCTGTCCTATTTTGCTTATTGGGTCCCTTAAAAAAAAATCTACAGAGGGTCAGGAGCCCCTTATGAACAAAGTGGATGAGGTACTGAGGGCTGCTGGGGAAGGAGAGAATATTTTAAGATTGAGTGGAAATCTGCCCAATATGAGGTGATTCTCCCCTCCCTCAGCAGGCTCTCACATTATTCAGGAGGATCCCCAGATACTGTGAAGAGGCTTTTTAGGGGGCCCAGGCAGTAGCAAGGCAGAAGATGGAATAGGGAACTTTCATTCCATTCACTTACCTTAAGATCTAAGCTTTTGCCATTTGATCAAATTTGTAGTTTCAACTAATCATTCTGCACAATTCAGGGGAGAGGAGTTGCTTGCTGACTTACCCCTTGATTTGTCTGATAGGTTACTGGGGAAAAAAATATGTGTCCTGTTCTAACCTGTTGGTAAGAAAAAGGTCAAAACTTTCTGCTGTTTAAAGCCAATCATAAGTGCCTTTACTAGGACTGTAAACAATGGAAAGAACATGTTGTTAGCTGTTTCATAACTGAGGGTTCTGGTTGTGTAATTCATAGTGTATGAAACAACCTGGATACTTAATCAACTTCTCAGACATTCCTTTGGTAAATAAAGCAGTGGCCCTTCTGTTAAGAAAACCAATGGATGATGGCTGCAGGGTAATCAGAGCAGGTTACAGGACATTTTGTAAGTAGTCTTTTTTCTTTGTCAGTTAACTGCTATTACATAATGCATAAAGTAAACAATTCTACAAGGATAGAGTTTCTTTGCACTTTTTATTGTTCATGACCCAAATGTCTTTGCAGAAATAAAATCAGTTGGTTGTTTCCAAGTTCTTGCAGGTTAGGTATGTAAAATATAAGCAAATGAGAATGAGATAAAAAAAACTTTCCCCGCCACTTTTAAATTAAATATTTATTTCCATCACGTGTTAGTGGTGGTGGAGCTGTTTAAATACTGGATTGGGAATATGCATGTTCAATTGCAGTGAGGGGTTTTGTTTTGTTTTGGAGGAAATAATCTTGCATAATTAATAAAAAAAGGGGGATTCATGAGACTGAGGAAAGGGAAAGCTGAACATAGTCAGCTATTCTGATTTCTACTAGTATAGAGAAATACCAGGTACAATCCCATGGATAGAACATATTGGAGGAGAAGAAATTTTTAGAAGAGAGATATTGAAGGTACAATTAGGCGGCATTCCAGTGAGCAAGAAAATAGGTAGGGAGACGTGTTCCCCTTCTTCAAAAGGGGTGAAAATAGTTCTAGGTTGCACTATTCTGCTTTGCCCAGACATTACCTGGAATACGGTGTCTCGTTCTGGGCACTGCAATTTAGGGATATTGACAAATGAACATAGCCAGAGAAGGGTGGCAAAGATGGTGAAGGGCCTGGAGACCAAGTCCTATGCAGAGAGATTGAAAGAGTTTGGTGTCTTTGTCTGGAAAAAAGATGTTTAAGCGGTTATATGATAGCCACTTTCAGATACATGAAGGGCTGTCATGTAGATAATGGAGCAGACTTCTTCCTCCAGAGGGTAGGACCTGAAGCAAGAAGTTCAAATTTTAAGAAAAGGGATGTAGACGAAACATTAGGAAGAACTTCTTGATGGTATGAGCTCTTCAGCAGGGGAATAGACTGTATCGATGGATTCTCATGAGAGCTTTTTAAGCAGAAGCTGGGTAGCCAACTGGCTTAATTCCCCTGAGATAAAAAGGGCTAAAGTGGTTTAGGCAAGCCATCTGTGGATGTGACCAGTTCCTTCTTGTGACACCATTTCCTTTTCTTCATAGGAATATAATTTCCGTTAACTTGGTGAGGGAAACAGCAGTTATTCGATCTCTGTGTCATAGGGGCTCCCCCTTCAGGAGGTTTTGTAATAAAAAGAAGTAACACATACACAACATATAACCCTTGCTGTAGTTTCCCACCATGTTTACCAAATTCATACAGAAGTTTGATGTTCAAGGTAGGATAGTGACCTTTTCCCAACAGTGGAGTTGTGCTTTTATGGCTGCACTGCAGACAGGAATTCCAAAGTTGAGACATTTCCCTCCAAGGGATGTGAGCGTATTTTGCCAGTCACTTTGTGGAAACAGGTATACATACATATGTACGACTCTTTCCCATGCTTTGTATAGAAGTATGAGAATCGTATGCAGGAGTGCACCAGTAACTTCTGAAACTTAAGATGAGAAGTAGTTTCAAGGCAGTAGTGCATCTGTCTTCCATAAATCAGGACTGGACTTTGGTAATATGGCACCCTGAGTGAGGGCAAAATGTGGCACCCCCCTAAATTGCTCCCCCCCCTCACAACTCAGTCGCCCGTCTGACCAGGGCCTAACTTTGTGTAGATATCTGTAAAATTGAGTTGGTGGTGTTGTTGCTCTCCCCTTGGCTTGGTGTCCTATGCAGGGGAACTGCCTGCACCACCCTAAATCCAGCACTGCATAAAGGTGCTCTGCAGGTTTGCATACTGCATTCAGGAGTAAAGAAGTCCAGCAGAACAGTTGATGGATTTCATTTAACTCTCACCATTAATTCCATTAAAATTTGTGGAATTTCTTTCTTTCTTTCTTTCTTTCTTTCTTTCTTTCTTTCTTTAAATATAATTTTTTTAATTGCCAAGTAAATACATCAATACCAAACCATGCATAAAGAATAATATAAAGAAAGAAAAAGAAAAAGAAATGCAAAGAAAAGTAGACAGTAAAAGAATAAAGAAAAGTATAATATTTCAATACAATAAACAGTATTTTACAAAATAATAGTAATAATAGACTTCCATCACTCTCACAACACTTCCTTTCACATTTTATATTTTATCTGTATTTCAGTATTATTTCCATCTTAATATATAGATATTTGTATTTCCCCTTTTCCATTCATGAGGTCATTCTAGACACAGCCAGATTTTTACATTAGAACCTTGTCTTTCAAGTACTTCCATTCCTTCTTGACTGTATTACTTTTATTATGATGACCCACATGTCCCAGTTAAGTGTGCTGCATGTCCAGGTTTGATTTGGGTTTAAAAAAAATTCTAGGAGACCACCATATATTGGAATTAACACAGCTAGAAAAATGAACGGCTTGACAGGCTCTTCACTTCCCCTCAAATCTGCAGTGTTGCTGAACTCAATTTGTTTTGCTATCAATCTGCATGTAGCATCATGGTTCAGTCTCAAAGAGTTGGCGTAGAGGTAACCTTTCCCATCGCAAGATAGAGAGGGCTGCTTTTCCTATTTCAAAGTTTAGCTCCTGCTTCTGGGCCAAACTAAGGTGGCTTTGTTGACGTAAATCGGAGCTGTTGATCCTGACTTCATGGCCTTGTTTTGCATGTGAGTTCTACTTGATGCGGCAATACCCTTTACAGAGCCAGATTTTGTGTATGAGATTGTACAATCTGCTCAACAATATGCAAGTTTTCATCAAGCAGAAGAACTTTTAATTGAACAATACAGATTTCTCCCGCTGAGACTTCAGCCTTTTTAATGCCAAAAGGTCCTATTATGGTCTTTGCCAGCTGGAGTGACAAGAAGTATTACATTTTTAGCACTTTTCTGTATTTTAACAGCAGGGCATTATGGAAATTAATATCCACAGAGCTTCACTTATAAACTTAAAATATCTCTTAATTTAGCTTTTCTCATATTACAGCTGCTGTTTATAGCAGTTTCTGTTGCTCTTAATGTATCTAATGCACCATAAGTGCTGGCATTTAATAACTTAACAGATTTTACTTCTTGAACTATGTGTGCAATTTCAGTAAGTTACTGTGGTGTTAATTTTAATCGGGCATTTACAAGATTCTAAGCATAAATACTTAGAAGCGTGCATGCAACTGTTCCTGATTGAAAAACTTCCTCTTTTTAATCACATAAACAGAATTTTTAGTTACATTGTGTGTCTTATGCCATTTTATGTTTGCTTTTTTGGCAAAAACAACAGCAGGTAGCATATTACCAAAAAAGGCATGATATGTGACAGTAAATGGAGCCGTTATGTCTTTCTATGTTTATTATATCTTTTTATTTGGGGACAGTTCAAAGCATTTTTAAAGGGGCATGCTCTGTGACTTAATTCATGCTATACAAATTGATGATGCTATATTATATTAGTTTGTATTCTGCTACATACAACGTATTGCACAAAGCAGTGTATGCTTCCTGCCCGAAGTGATGGCTGCTTAAGAACCACCTTGACCTGAGAGGAAGGGAGAGAAGGCAGAACAGCCTAGCAAGCTGCTCATTTCAGGTGGTTCCAGTTGACAGCATTCCCGTCCCCTGGTGGTTCTTCTTCACCTTGCTCGCTGGGCTCTGGGGATGCTCTCCCTGAGATGCTATTGCGGGGTCATCTGAATTCCCATGGGATTTTGTGAGAGCCTCCCAGAGCCCCATAAGCAAGACTGAGAGTTTAAAACCTCTTTCTGTTCCGAGAAAAGCTTGCACAAGAAGGAGCTCTCTGTCTTCCTTGCATATCATTTGTGTGATTTCAACCGCGTAAAGTTGAAGTTGCACATTTTAAAACGTGCATAAGTTGCGAT